AGTGAGAGATTCCACTGCATGAATCGCAACAATTCTTTCGTCAATTATTCACGTACGTTCATTAGATCGAAGAAAATCACTTTTATGGGTGTTGCTATGTGCCGCTGCTGCTGTTGGTGCTGTTCAATATAAAAAATTTATTACAACGTGCACAGTCAGTCGATAATCATAATTATTCGCGCATACATTGAAGTTGTGAATATTCAACTCATCTTCAATGCTGAGGCCATTGGAATGTGAATCTCGGAGTGTGCGTGGAATTTTCCTTCATAGAAGTCACTTTTAACATGAAAGAACTCACTCAGTTTTAATCACGTCCATTTTTAAGATACATCTCTTTCTCCCTCCCGCTCTTCGCACATAAGAAAGTGCGGATTCGTTGTGCACGAGCATGTTTGGATAACAGAATTACGTTTCGTTTTTTGATCTATCCTTTATTACTTAAGATCTAGAGTGTTTTTTTATAAATTCGATTCTGTAACAATCTTAGCATAATATCTATAATATGAAATATTTATGAATGAAATAACTGATGCATCAACTAAACAATATTTCAAGTGATTTTTCTTTCTTGTTTGCTTTTCTCGTTCACTCCGAGTGAAATATGCGCATAAAAAATGATATTCAAGTAATATAACAATAATATATTTCATAAATAAAAGCCAACGTTAAATGGTAAAAATTTACCGAAACAACGCACGGCTGAGCGGCGAGTGAGAGAATTGTGTGTGTGGAAATGAAAGAAAAATCATTGGCCATTATACATATCGGGCAGCCAGCGCAAAGCATTTACCATTTTTTTTCATTCGTAGCTCAAAGTTTTGCGAACCGAGAAAGAAGAAGAAGAAAAACTATTACTTCGTAAAAATTGAATCGCGGAATGGACAGTGGCTACTGGTATAAGCGCAAGCACACTGTGTCTGTTTTTTTTTTTTGCGTTGAGTTGTTTACACTCATTTCATGCCTCGTAGGATAATAATCATAAGCGCACTGTGTGCAAGTTTAATTTGTGTTGTGTAATATATTTTTGTGTCGGAAAAGGAAATGCTCATATTGCTCGCATGCCTGTGCGCACCTTTGCAATCGAATGATTTGGCAACGAGCAGGTAGAAGCAAAAGTTATAAATATTCATAATGAATACAGGAAACACTTTCTTCGATTCAATTAAAAAAAAAATTCGTGCTTAATAACAAGTCAACGTTTTGCTGAAGAAGATTAACATCTTGGGTGGCTCTGCATGAGGATTTGATATAAGCGTGAGTGTCGTTTTTTATATTGCCTTTAAATGTTGATATTATCTTATTCTCTCTCGATTTTTCAGGCCGACAAATATTGGATGCTATCTGACGATGCATTCTCCCCGAAAATATAAGTGGTATTGCGCAACGCGATGAAAACAAATTGCTTTTTATCTTTCTGCTCACGGCTGATGAAAAAAAACTCACCATCGTTACATGAAATTGTTGTGCACGCACTCTAGTTTGATCGATGTCAGAGATTGCCATGCATCAAAGGATCGTTAAGCGCTCTTTAGCTGAAAAAATGCTACTGCGCCATTCGACACGAAAAAAATAGTCATGTATGGCCATTTTATTTCCCGGTTTCGATATGACGCGTCCATCAAATGCACTCGCCAATTCAATTCACGGGCTTCTCATGTTCACGACACAAGAAGAAGACGAAGAAAATATATGGCTCTTGTTTCGCTAATTTGTCTATTGAATTGTTTTTTTTTTCGCGCGGTGCTATTTTTCAGTTTGAATGATGTTGACCCGGCCATTCATCTCTTTGCAATCTGGTTTCTGACTAAAACGATGAGAATGAGTCAAAAAGTTTTCTCCGGAATCTAACACACACAAAAGTGATTGAGCCCATTGTGATGATGAAGAAGAAAAAAAAATGATGAAAACAAAACACGACAATGAAAGACGGCGATCATCATCAAAACTGTTAATATACACCCGAATATTTCGGCGCGCGGAATCTTTTTTCATTCTAATTTCGAAGAAGCAAAAAAAAAAAACTTTCAACACTCTTCGCCGCTGACTGTTGCGAGAGAGTTACATACTTCTTTTTCTCTCGCAGTCGATCTCTCGCTTTATCAATCTCAATCTTGTCTCAATCCATTCAGCACCATTTTCCACTCGCTGTGGCTTCTGTTATTGTCTGCCGATACTTGTTTGATGCGCGCGATGGTATTTCTTTTCATCATTTCACAATGAACTTCTTTGCAAACGACGATACAATTGTATTTAAACGATATCTGATTTGGATACATGCTGTTCATGATTTATAAAATATGATCTTCAAGCTATTCATGTGTGCCAAGACACATAAGTGTCTCGTGTTTTGTTTTCTTCTGTCAGTTAGTTCCATTTGAACAGTTCACACGAACACGGTGTGTATGTACTCTTTTCTCATTTGCAAATCTTTTTTTTTTCGCATACACAACTGTGTGGTTTTTCTTGACATCCATTCAACACAGCGATTGTGACTGTTGCTTAGCCGGTGTTCGCAGAAAAAAAAAATTGTATATGAAAATTGATTGAAAATCTTAAACAAATTATACTTTGAAAAAAAGGCGCAATATGATGTGTGAGAATGAAATGTAAATGCCAAGATGATCGCTTTTGGTGTTTAGCGTTTGGGTCCCATATGGAAATGTGCACAAGTTGCAAACGTTTTTAAGAATATTTTTTTTCAATTGTTTGATGTGTGCTGACTTTTTTTACCACCATGCATGGTATTTTCTTCAGTTTTGTTTGATTTTCGCATATCATTTCGGATAGTATCCAAAGAAGTTGATCTTTACTATGTTTTTTACGACCAATAGGTCAATGGTTCACGTCAAAAATAATGCGTGTTACCACACGATTTTCCAAAATGAGAGAAAAAAATTGCCTCGTCACTTTTTTTGCTATCTAATTCGCTATTTGATTTCGATCTATAACCGAAAGTGTCATCTGCTCGAAACGGTATTCAAATCAACCATCAAATTGGAGAATAAAAATCATCATCAATTTATACGACCAAGACATTCCTTTGCGTCCTCTTGATTCACGCTTCAATACACGTGTGGTTGCAAACGAAAAAAAACCGTATGCTGTATCGAATAGGATAATAGCAGCAGTTTATTATTCACGTTTTTTTTTTTATTTCACTGTGGTTCAAGATGCTGATGATGGTGTGATTATTGTTATTATTTGAGAGTGCTGCCACTTTATTTCGCTCTATGTGATTTGTTTAATTTTCGTTTTTTTTTTTCCTTTCGCCGCAACCATGTGCGGCTTTCTTTCTCACTTGGTTAGAAATTTTTAATTTGAATTTTTCGCACATAAGAAACATAAACGACCGATAATTTCAAATGGGTGCTGTTTTTTCTTCTCCCCTGGCATTGGAGCCTTATTTCGTCCAATTAGTTGGATTGCCGACAAAATGGAAATAAAACAACAATTTCGTAAATAAAAAGACAATTTGATTACTTTGCGGCTACTGTATTCAAGATATTCAAATTGATACCTGACAATGCAACGCGCGCGGCACTGTTTAATGAGACTTTGGTCAGCGATAGCAAAGGAATTTTTACGATCAATGAACCTACGCTCTGACAGTTGGGTGCTGTTTATTTCAATTTAACGGTTCGGTACTATCTCAATCAACGATTCCCTTGATTAAAGTTCAAATGAAAATAAACATATTGATATTTGATAATAATAGACGGCATTTCAATTGTGTATGTTTTTGATGCGAAATTTATTTCAATTTTGATTCAAGATCAAAGACATGATCGCATTCAATTGTGACGGTGCTTTCTCTCATTCTCTCTATCATTATCAATTCAACACACCGTAATCATTGGCCAACGAAATGTTGAACAAAAAAAAATGAATAACACAACAGATCATAAGCAAGTTCGGAATATTATGCGATGTTCCTTTCTTTTCTCTTTCTCGTGTTATCGCTTCGATCAGTCAGTAGTGAGCGCACATAATTTGTTTTCGACATTCTTGAGATGAAATGAGCAAAACGGAGGAAAAAACATCCAAATATGATTAAAAAACACAATTTTCAGCACAATAAATTTTTCGTATTTGTGTTTTTTTTTTTTTGTTTCGTTGATTTCACTTCAAAATGGTGTCATAGCGCACATGCCTACTTTTCAGATGACTTTTAAGTACCAATGATGATGATCTTCGTGTGCCTACAAAACAAAATAACGAACGTAATTTTCGAAATTTTGTTTTCGATTTGAGATCACAGTGCCAACGGTATTTGGTATAATTTCAGAATGATCATCATACACGCAATGCGTCGACCTATCTCGGAATACACGAATGAAAACTGTGGACAAACAAGAATTTTCGGGTAAGGCGTCAAAATGGCGAGTAACATTTTTATTATGAGGCCCTTTTTTATGACTATACTCTGTCGGTTCACTTCGAAATTGATAAAGACATGACTTTTTTATTACTTTTTGTCTGTTGGAGCAATTTGATTTCCGTTTTTGATGAATTTTCGTTTGGTGCTAACAATTACGATGATGATGATGCTGATTGCTATGAAGTGAACTACAATTATGCCGTGCTAAGTATAGGTCGCATGATCCACAATGTTCGCGCAGTAGCCAAAAAAATCGTAAAGAGAATAATCGAAAATCCAAATCTATCGATAGAATCGGGAGCACACAAAAATTCGATACGTCACAATGAGCATTAACTTCTTTTACGCTTTGGACCTTTCGACGCTCTTTTCTTCTTCTTCTTCTTATTCCAAATAATGTTGCTAAAAATCTTCTTGGTGTTGTAAAAAAATCCAAAAGAGAGAAGCGCGAGTGTGTGTGCGCGTAATGTGCAAAATCGAAAGAAATCGTCAAATTGAAACACTGAGTGGAAGTTCAATTCCAATAAAATTGTACGAATATGATATTGGAAAAAAGAGAAATTCACAAAACTGAATATATTCGAGTTGAAAAAAAGAGAACAACAGGTAAAGAACTTACCGTTTGCATATCCAATTAACCATATTATTCCAAATATCGTAAAATAATTGATTTGTAAATGTTGTCTGTGATACATTTTCGATTGTTTTCTATGTTGTTTTTGTTGTTGTTATATATGTGTGTTATACTGTAAGTGTGTTTATTCGTTCTAGTTTTTCGCTATGCGCAATGAATTGATTTTGGGATTTTTTTTTCTTCTTCGACTTATTTCCAATAGAGTGATCACGTCTATGGCAGAATGATTCAATTTGTATGGAATGTTTAGTTCGTAATCCTCAAGTTGATTTTTGTTTTTCTTCTTCGTCTCTCTCTTTTCAATTTTCTTTCAAATCTTTTCGTTTGTGAGTCTAAAAACTGATCATACGTGGATCAGCAGCATTCTGAAGCACTTATTTATTTAAAAAAACACTACAATTTATTGATTTGATAACGGAACACTTTTGTCCACATTTTTGTTCGTCGTCTTAAGTGATAAAAAGTATTTCACGACCGTTTTTTATGCGGCTGGAATAAAAACACTAACACTGTCTGTGAATGCGGCTAATCTATTTTTCACCTGCCAACATTCTCACCATTTTTATTCCTTGGGTTGACGTTACACGATGAATCACCGTGGATTGCGCTTCAAAATTCACCCACACAAATTAAATGCAATACACATCGAGAGATTACGAATGAATGCAATCACTATCAACTGTGTGACACATAAAAACAATAGCACGATCAAAATGATTTTCGCGCGGCGAATTTTTTTTCGTTGTTGCGCTCAAAAACCGTTTCGGAAGTATGTTTATATTAATGAATTCTGTCCTATTTCCAATGGCAAATCGTACTTTTTTTTAGCAACAACAAAAAAATGCTGTTTCTCCGTCTGTTTTTGGGCGATCGTTGGAAAGTATTTACAAAACTCTTGTGTACACTATACACTTAGTAAGAATTTCTCAAATAGAAAGTGCTTTTACTTTGTCGATTTTATTGTTGGATAAAAAGAAATAATTTTGTTTTATTCGTTTGTAGCTGTGTGTTGCTGTGTGATGTTCTTCGTAGCTGGTTTCGAAAAATCTTTCTTCTCGATCGTCGTTGCTACGTTTCTTCCGTTGGTTATCGCGCGCGTCGTCGTCGTTGTCGTCACAGTGAAATAAAAAATATATATATTCAAAAATTTCTTTTCACCATGTGTATATATGCACGCTTGCTAGCTGAATGGTTGTTTCTTCTCGGTTGTGCTTCGTTTCGTTGAGAAAATACAGTAAATGCGTTTCTTGCTTTTCTACAGTTTATGTTATGTTTTGCTTCTTTTTCTTCTTTCTTTCGTTCGCTGAGCTCCAAATGCATACAGCGCAATATTGTTGTTGAAAAACTGTGCGAAGAGAAATGCTCAAAAATACGTCTGCTCTTCAAGAAATCCACGAGTCGACTGAATATGAAAATTGATCGATTCACCGTTTTTGCAGCGGCAAGCGAGTGAGCGCGTTCACGAGCAACGGGCACAACCAAATATACCGTTGTAACATACAGTGTATGCTACAACACACCGAAGCTGGCTGCTTCTTTGTGGCGGGTTTGTGTTTTTTGTGAAATGTTGTTGTTTGTTATGTTTATTTCAGCTTGTCTTCGTTTGTGGATTTCTTCATTGTTATCGACATAAATGTGTGTATGCGATCGTTGTTGCTACCATATATTCTTTTTTTGTAAATCGCATTTTTTTTACCTGTTCGTGTGCAGCACATGAACATGAAGTGCTCGAGAGAGGAGCACCACTCTTTTCAGATTCTTTCAAACCATCTTTCATGTGAATGAATGAATCACATTGTTTGACGGTGCGGATAGAGTGATTGTTGTGTGTCGTTGATGCGTTTGTGGTACACTTTTAATCTTAATTCCGCTTTCTTCTAATGACCATTGATGCTGCGCGCTGTTGATGCAACTCGGACAGACATTCATACACAATTGATACATTTAAGTAGCGATTTAAGTTAAAGCCATACGAATTAAAAGGCACTTTTCATTCGATTCACATACTTTCATTGTAAGATTTCAGAATGGAACTTTTTCGCTTGAAAGAAGGAAGTATATGCTTTTTTTGGACATTAATTTATGGACCTTTTTGTATTCGGTTCAACGAAAAAAAAATCCCTTCCGGTTAATTGGTCGAGATTTTTTAAGCATTAAAAATGCATTAAAGTTCTTCCTTTCTCATTGCAGCGGTAATTTTTTTTAGCAACAATGACAACAATGTGTTCGAACCAATCGAACGACTATTAGTTGACTCGCCCGCAAGTGAATTTACAGCCTCTTTTGATTTGTAACAGTGAGCAAGCATTAAAAAAAAATTGATTGCCGCATTGTAAAATGACAAAACAAGACCTTAACCAGCCAATGTTTGCTACCAATAATTTTCAATTGTCAATATATATAGTAATTTAGTACGGTATCGAATTAAAATGGCAAATGCTTAATGGTGTTAACACTTTTCCGAACGGTATCTATCTCGACATGCAACTGTATCTCTCGGCAAATTCGTCAAATCGATTGAACGAACGAGAGAAAAAGGAACCTGCATTCCTCCGCTCGATTGTATTAAGCATATTTTTTGCTGCGTACTCCTTTTGTGCACCGGGCATAAAAGAAAATATCTTTCTCATTCTCAGCGCTTTAATAAATGGTAGTTGACAGGTATTTGCAAAGTGAAATAGAAGCAGAAAAAAAGTCGAGCAAAGAGAGACAAAAAAAATGAATGAACGGTTTTTATATTGGAGCTATATGTGATACATATTAAGTTTGCGCAATAGGCAGCGCAGAATAAGCAATGCGCTTTCAAATTGAGACTGACAAGAGAACGAGAAAGAGAGAGAGCGAGAGAGAGAGTATAGAAAAGAAACAAATCGAAAACGACCGCTTAAAAATTCCTCTGTTAGCGGTGCATACTTCGATACTTAGGTAGATTATTTATTAGCTATGCACGATGCGCTTAGCACAGCCGCAAATACTCGCTTTTGCTCCATATATATCGTATTGCTTCGAACTCGTTCGGTGAATTTCTCTCTAATATATATGTATCGAAATCAATGGCGAAAGAATGGAAATGTATGGAAAGAAAAAAAAATTATAGATCTGAGTGCGACTGATGGATTGTACGCGATGAGTGTGCACGAGAGTGAGGCACTTTAGATTTCTTGTCACAAATCACTCACCCATTTCCATTTCAAGAGGATTGGATTTCATTTCCATATCATAAAAATACACACGATGCGCTTCTGCTGCGGCTGCTCTCTCTCTCTCCAATAGACAGTCTTTCTAATTCGCAATTCTGTATTCACGGCGCGCATATTTTCATTTGGAATGTATTGCACTTTTCATCGAACTGGGCGCAGTGTGATCATTTTTACGATTTGCCATGCAATGTTTAATAATATCAATATGGCTTTATTTTTCTTTCGTTTCAAGAATAAACGTTAAACGAGCAAAGAGAAAAAAAATCAAATCTTTGTTTTTTTTTTCAATTTTCTGTGTGTGCTTTTGCCTGTTAAACAAGCTCAACTTGTTCAAATCGGAACGGTTGTTTGGGCGGTTTGTTCTTGTCTTGGCGGCTACAAGTGAAAGAAGAGAAAAGAATGCCGATATACGAAGTAGAATGATTTTTCTTGGAAAACCATTTAAAAGCAAGTGGATTTTCGAAGCAATCCGATGATTGCACGCATTCTTTTTCATTTCATCAATCCATTGGATTTTTGGGCCTGAGTATTGTATATGCTTAAAATAAATTATTGATTTTTTTATTGGATTTCGTGGGCCAAGAAACTGGTTTCACGCATTTCCTGCCTTTGGCCACACAATTTTCCCGTGCATTTTCTATGAGAATATTCGATCGACACCGCGTCATGGCATTTATAAAAACAATCGAGAGTATTCGTGATATTCGAAACGCTGAAGATTTATCGCAAAATCAAAGCGCAATAATAAATTTGAGAAGCGAAAATTTACGATTTTATCCGAAACAACGAAAATTGAAAAGTATGAAAAATTGAAAATTTCAAATAATTGCAGTGTTTTTCGTGTTGACGGCCCAGTGACTATGTCCACCTTCAGGGGTAATGATTATTTCGAGCTAAAATCGTTTCTTTTTCAAATCAGCTGATGTACATAGAGGTCATATTCGTTGAATTCGACTTTGGCACAATATTTTCATAACAATGAAATTACGATCGGTGAACATTTATCGTCGATGTCATAAATTTGAATGTTATTACTGTACTTATTCCGACAAATGATGCATAAACGATCTCAATGAAATTAGTCACACCCAAATGTATGCATGTCGCAAAAACAAAATTAGCATTACGTTTTTGCGCAAACCATCATTGGCCATTACAGAAGATGATTCAAGCAATGTGACGACCGTTGTTTGATTGCTCACACAAATCGCAAAAAAGTGAAAGATGTCAAGTTGTTGAAATGAAATCGCGATTAGCCATTTCATTTCACCATTAAAATAGACAGGTAAACAACGCTCTGAGTCATCCGTGTGATACACATTATCAAATCGAACAACGATGGTTGCCTCCATATCGGCCGTTCGATAGCGGCAACAACAACCGCAAAAAGAAAGCAATTGAATCGAGCGTGTGATTTGCATGCGCCCAACCGCACCGCTTGAAAATCTGTCATAGTCCATAATCTTAATTGGAGGAATGGCTTCGGAATAAATACGGAACTATTGACTCCAAGTCAATAGTCGATTTAATGTGCCGAGATTTGTGCACTTTGCAAAAATACAAACGAGTTATTCTGTTGGCTGATATTACCTTGTGTCGGCTTGCATAGATGTACACCTTTTCGTTTTCATTTTTTCAGGTCATTTCTCGGTCTCTATCTGAAAGGGCATACAACACAAACGACATCGTTCATCGCGGATGTTTACCTTTTCACATTTTCATTCTCACTGCTTTCTTCCGTCACTCTGTTGCAAAGTCATTCGTATCGTGTTCGCGTGTAACTCATTTTTTTTGTTCGTCGTCTTTCTCGATCACCAGGCATTTCCAAGATTTACATAAAAAAAAAGACGACAACAATTTCATCTCAATCGCAGCAAAAACATTCGAACGTCGTACCCATAAATTCATAAGAAGAAAACGAAAAAGAAAAACGGACGCGCATGCAAAAGCCAGTGAATCACGATTATTCAATCACTTCGTTGAACGTCGTTGTTTAATTTTATTTTCGGAATGGCATCATCATGATTTGTAATCGCTTTTTCAATGTACTGATAACACCAATAATAATAACCAAGTTAACGGATTTTTCATTTTTTTTCGCTTGCGCTACACAAAAAAAAAAAAGATATTTTGACCGAAATTCCAAAATCTTTCTTTTTTGCATAACCTTTTTTTTTTTTGTTAAATATGAGCCGATCGAATTGCCGCAGGAGATGAATCAATTATGTCTCTTTCAGTTTTTTTTCTTCTTCTGCATTGCGTCGTCATTCAGCCTCTTGGCTTTGTATGCCGCTGAGAATGCGTTGGGGTTTCGGTGAGCAACTACATTATTTCTGGTTTGCACGTAATTAATTTGAATTCGTGTGCAAAAAAAATTGTGTTTCATTCTGTTTTTGCTCATGCCTTCATATGCGTGCCACCTTATATGTGGGCTATAGATGACGCACATAAACAATATAAATAATAACTGATGGGGTTCGTCGTTCCAATTAAATCTATTGTTCTTTTGGTATTGTTTAAGTCTTTCGTTTCGTTTCTCGCAAGGTGGACAAAAAGAAAATCACAAAATATCTTTGAACGGTATTGTTTGGAGCGAAAATGAAAAATTTGAACTACGTGAGATTATTAAAATTTTTGATGTATGCATATAAATCTCATATGATTTATGCATACATTTAAATTCGTTCCCAAAAACCATATTGGCCGTCATGAAAATGGAGTTTCCGATCGAGTTGAATGAAACTGAAATTCAATCAGAATTAATGCGACCATTGTTGACTAATTCGATGACGATTTCGAAAAAAACACAAGCATAACAGAAAGACTTTCTCACTCTCTTCGCGGTGTGTCTGACTCAGACGAAAAAAAAACCGTACGCGAAAACATTCATAATAATCATAAAAACATAACAAATGAAACAACGCACAGCAAACAAAATATTTTCCGTGAAAGTTATGAACGAACGAAAGATGAGTGTGTTCGCACATTTATCGCACAGATGTAAATGGCTTTTAAGTCTTTCTATTTATCGTTGATAAAATGGAACATGTGTCTGCGTCATTTGTGCGCTAGTAACGATGTGTGTGATTAATTGATATTGTACGTTTAGCGTGTGTAATGTAACGATCTGCACTGGCCACTTTTCAAACATTAATTACATGGCCTTACCGAATGAATGGCGTGAAAAGTTATATGTTTTATTTGGTTGAGATG